TCTATATTTAAATATTTCTCTCCCTGTTACATGTCTTCTATATGTGGAATTTTCGTCTATAATTAATTGTTTTTATAATGCTAAATGTTTTTATATAGTGAATTTAAATTAAATACTTTACAGAATTTTTAAATAATTAATATGATATAATTTAAATAATCAGTATGATATAATTTAAATTATAAACTTAGTATTTGAAAATTTATTAATATTTTATTGATATAATAAGATTGGTTATATTTAAATGAAATTAATATATTAATAATTTATTTAAATTATTTTACTGTAACTTATACTATATAGTTAAAGATGTAGCATTGAATGGATTACTATAAATATTTTTTATAAAAGTATTAATTATAAATTCTTACTACCATTCTATAATATTTTAAACTTCTATTCTAAAAAAATTTAATGACTTTTTTCATTGTTCTTCCTTTCACAGGTGTTGATTGGTTACATTTATGTCAGTGTCCATTTTCAACCGTCGCGTTTATCTGTAACCGCTCCACCACAACCAAGTTAGGTCTTTTACCTATCTATATGTATATAACTCCCTCCTCTATTATGGGCCTATCTTTATTCCATCTCCTTTTATTCTATCCTTTTTCAGTAAAGAAACGGTTTATTCATTTTAGTAAATATATTTGCATTGATAAGTCCTGGGAAAACTACTTTTCATGGACAAAATGATCATCTGATCATATATATATATATATATATATATATATATATATATATATATATATATATAAAAGACATTTTATGTTTAACGTTGTTATTTATAGATACAAGTATTTAAGCAAATGCTCTGTTTATGATAAACAGTATTAAATAACATCTCGTACATTCATAACTGCTCTGACGTATCGAATGTAAACAAATGACGTCATATGTTAAGAAATGGACAAGGTCCGACAATTTATTTATTAAAGACATTAAATAAATAAATTGTCGGACCTTGTCCATTTCTTAACATATGACGTCATTTGTTTACATTCGATACGTCAGAGCAGCGTATGAAATGTACGAGATTCATGGAAGATTGAAGTTTATAAACAGTAAATTCGACCTTGTCTACCGTAAGGTTCTTTGTACGACGGTTAAGGCACGTCAGCGTATATGACGGTTCCGTATAGGATGCAGGTTTGAATCCTGTCAAAGAACGAATATTTTCTATGAAAATTTCTCGGACATTCAGGCCGGTAAATGTTATTTAATACTGTTTATCATAAACAGAGCATTTGCTTAAATACTTGTATCTATAAACAACGTTAAACATAAAAATGTCTTTAATAAATAAATTGTCGGACCTTGTCCATTTCTTAACATATATATATATATATATATATATATATATATATATATATACATATGCTTGTGTGTATATGTTAAGTATATAAGTTATGTTTAGGTCTATTTAAATTTTATTAAATTCCACCGAAGTTTTTATTGTATTTTAAAATTTTTGAATATGATGGTGTAAAGATAATATGCACAAGTAAACAATTGGTTGAATTTAATTAAATTTCTCTGTATATATATATATATATATATATATATATATATATATATATATATATATGTGTGTGTGTGTGTGTGTGTGTGTGTGTGTGTGTGTGTGTGCGAAAGTGCATGTAAAGAAAGGGCATAATTTATATATATATATATATATATATATATATATATATATATATATATATATATATAAGCTAATGTTTAATGTTTATAGCACATATCAAATAAGCAAACGGTATATTAAAGTACGAATGTTAAGACCGGCTTATTTATTATGTTTCTGGGTTTGGGATATGCCCAGCTCTGGGGATATTTTTTTGTCACTTATTTTGGAGTTGGCCCGGGGAAAGAGTCCCTGCCCGAGTGATACGGTCGCCCCAACTTTATTAATTTCATTTTTCATAAGGTAATATTCATATTTTAACCTTATTATATACAATAATGTATTATAAGTAACATTCAACTAGAAAAATTGAAAATAAATACGATGTATCTAAATACAAATTAGTGACATGTCATAATAGATCATTCCATCTCTATCTATAAAAGGCAGGATGTGTGTGTGTGTGTGTGTGTGTGTGTGTGTGTGTGTGTGTGTGTGTGTGTGTGTGTGTAAATTATTTTTGACGGATTTGCACCAAAATTTACATGCTCCAAGTTAGCGAGAAGGCCAAGACCGACTTTGCATTTCCCAACTCCCAGCGATAGTGGAAATAATCGATTTTTTCATGCTTCTACGGCAGTTTTCATGTAGTTTGCGGCCATTTTCTACTGGCCAGCGTGAGAGCCTATAGCTGGCTGCCACAAATAGGCAGGAAGATTCTATTGGCCAACGTGAGAGCCAACAGCTGACTGACACGAATGTTAACTAGCATGCTAGCATACAAAAAAAAATCGATAGCTGCATTCGTTACAAGTGGGAAAAATTTAAATCTGCATGGCACTTTACTCCAATTGGCTCATTCGCTTGCTTAAACTCAACATTGATTCTGATTCCGCAGAACTGGGTTGGGTGTGAAAAGTATTTGTTGTTCACATTCTTTTTTCATTCGGTTTTTCCAGTTACGAGTCCTTTTTTAATGCTGATCATTTTGTGTTCATTTTGTTTAGTTCTTTTTCCGTAACTGTTATGGGGTCCACCCCTTTTCTATATAAGTGGACTCTACCAAGTGTTACTTGGACTGCTGCCGTTAAATACCCAGAGTTAGACAGTCAGTGAGGTAGTCGGATAGTGAGAGAGGATATACGGAGAGAGAGAGAGAGAATATACGAACGGAGATAGTGTTAGGTAGCCTCTTGTAGAAGTCAGTTACAAGCACATAGACTCTAAGGAAGTCCTACTTCGAGACTGTAGTATATATCTATCTGTATTTGCTACTAACCGCGTTCCTGGAATTACTAACAGTATTACTCTTTGTATGATTGTGTAAATACATTTTATTTCTTATATTTAATTATTGCGTTGGTCATTCCTTGGAGACCGAATTCATCTCGGAATCCACAACAGTAACAGATTTTATGTTTAGTATAGAGGTTCGAAAAAATTCGCATTAATATTTCTGATTGATTCTATGTGTGATTATTTCTTTGAATGTAAATTATATGTTGCCTAATGTTTTTTATATATATACATACATATATATATATATATATATATATATATATAGAGAGAGAGAGAGGGGGGAGGGAGGGAAAGAGACAGAGACAGAATTGGCAAAAAACATTTGTACACATTACTTTACTTGGGGTTACTCTGTGTGGTTTTATTTGCGTAGGAATTCCAAGCGTTAAGAGTATACAGCTGTAGTAGACTTTTGAAAGAACTGGAAACCCAGTCCTAAATAGGAAACAAGGAATAAACCTCTACTCCTGTTCAAAAGAGCCTGGAGGAGAGTGAACAATTTCTGCCCAACACCGTCTTTGATTGACCATTGAACAATCTGCTGAACATACATGAACGTTCTGAAATTTATAAACCTTGATAAACCAATGACATCCTCGCCTTTGTGTATATAAACCCGTGCAGCATAATAAATCCTACATTGCTTTGATAAAGTCCCTCAGTGAACGAAACGCGTCGGGTAGGTATAGTTTTTTTCCTCTTGTCTAGTTATTCTTTTCTTCTCTTCTACAGATACACTCTATCCGAGAATATATATATATATATATATATATATATATATATATGTATTGTTTGAGTGTCCTGGTGTTGTTCAGATTGTTGATTATCCTAGGTAAAACGCTCTCTTCCAGAAACTGTAACTAAGATCTGCTCAGCATAGCTGCAGTATAAACCACAGGTTGGCTCTGTGGGTGTTGAACAAAGATTAATGTGCCTGAGCCAGAGTCTGCAATAGGGATTGGCTATCCACTCTAGTAGACGGGTAACCTCGAATACGAGTAACCAGCTATTATATATATATATAGTGTGTGTCTGTGTGTGTGTGTGTGTGTGTGTGTGTGTGTGTGTGTGTGTGTGTGTGTGTGTGTGTGTGTGTGTGTGAATAGACTCAACATCCAAGGGGATTTTAAGTCTTCAATCGAGAGGTCTGGTCAGAAAATTTATGTTGTCTGGTCATCTGTTCAGTTGTGTGGTTAGACTTATCTATCTATCTATCTATCTATCTATCTAGTTTAATCTGCGCGCGCGTGTGTATGTGTGTGCGTATATTAAAGATTTAAGCAACGGTTACTTTTATATATAGTGCTCAATATTAAAAATATTATAACAATATTAAAAATAGAGCGTTAATAATATTATATGAAAACGGAGTAAAAAATGTGGATTGTAAAATACGCGGAAAAATTTTTTAAAAAAATGAAAAAAATTAGAAATACCTCTTAAAACCAGAACTGAAGACTGGAAATTTTACCATGAAACCTCGAAGTCGGGATAAAACTGATATTTAAAATTTAAGTTATCTTTTCATATTATATATATATATATATATATATATATATATATATGTATATATACATCTTGACGTGAATATTAGTTAACCAACTGGACTCACCATTAATTAGTCATGTGAAGGAAATATTACTGATCCGGCGCGTTAAATATTTGGCCTTGTGTCTGACTATGCTACATTTCGTAAATACCTATGTTTGTGTCTGTGAGAGTGCTTCGAGTTAAAATATATATTTTTTACAAAAATATTTTTATCTTAAATATAAAAAAGAGGTGGGGTGGGGTTGGGGGTCTGATATGGGTGGGGATGATTTGATGGAAGAGCCGTAAAGTCTATATTCGCCAATGGGTATATCTTATAAGCCGGGTGGAGGTGGTTGTAGGGACTGGGCGTGTCTTTGCTGTCAATCAAGTGTTACGGTCATGTGTATTTGATTTGATTTTAGTTCAGGTTTTTTTTTTTTATTGTCGTTGTTTTTCTTTTGATGTTCCTTTCTTTCTCTCATCTTTTTTTTTTTGTGTGTGTGTGTGTGTGTGTTTCTGTCAGGTAATTTATAAACACGTGCAATGTTCCGAGATTTCCCGAGATTTTTCCACCGATTCACTGAAAATATTCACTGAAAAAAAAAAGAAAAGAAAAAAGATACACTTATCTCTTTGGCTTAGAATATCTCTTATACCATCAATTTTCGGGTCCGTTTTAGTTTGATGAATTAAAAAAAAAAAAAAAACTGTCCGCATTTAGTAAGTGCCTTCAATTTTTACAGCTAATATGTCCTACGGTAGACAATTTTCCAAGCCAGTTTTAGGAAGTGCTTACCTCCTTCACCCGGTTAGGTGATCCATCAATTTCCATAGGAAATTTTCAGATGAGCTGTAATATTTACTTTCACCGGTTGACCTTTATAGATAGAACGTGCCACTCGCCATGTTTATTTTACCAATAACCTCCTACTTCAAGTTACTATTGAGTCTTGTATTAGGTGAAAACTTCAAAATAAATGGCACAGTGATTATTATTACGGAAGAAGGAGCTGGCGATCTAGGTTCGAATCTTACCTATGACTGGCTTTAGCCATTACTCAATAAGAAAAACCGGAATCAATTTTTCTCTGTATTTTGTCATCGTCAGTCATCTTAAAGAAATATCTTGTGGCAACTTCTAAGGCATCGATCAAATATCAGATCGTATGATGTGGTTACTAGGAGTAGAGGACAATGAGAAGACTTTCGTGTGAAGAAAGAACTATAAAAGAATAAGATTCAAGACCACAGAAGATAGCTACTGGCGTTGCATTTAAACTTTTGAAGATTCACGTGGGAGGGAAGTCAGAGATCGGAAGAGCTGTACGTCGTTGACTATCGCGATCCTGTTCCCTTCATCGATTATAGTTTGGGATCTGATGTAACGGAAGAAACTGTCACCCCCATGAGTGACAACACTATAGGTAGTAACTACCTATAAGTATCTGTAAGTCAACGGACTACAGGGCCTAGCCGAAATCTTTTTCGGCTAGACGGTCGAACTCTCTGCCCCTAAGCAGAGAGAAACCCGGACGAGGATCAGCCGAAGGGCAGAGTCTCGTTCGGGGAGGTTGACCAACCCGATCTCGTTATGCGGGTTCTATGGGCATTTTTTGACAGAGCCTACGGGCTCGGAGAACCCACGTTAAACCCAGCCTTGTGCCACATGCAACCCTCGTGGTGTGGGGGTGACTAAATATCCTAGCTGGAATCTTCAGCTGTGCTGGTCGAACTCTCTGCCTCCGAGCAGTGAGGATTCCCAGACGAGGCTATGCCGAAGGGCAGAGTATCGTCTCAGGAAACAGCTGACCGACACCGTTTTATACGTGTTCTACGGGAATTTTTGGCTGAACCTACGGGCTCCGATATCCCAAATTAAACCCGGCCTTGTGCCACATCTGATCGAATGGTGAGATTAGTAAATATACTAGCTGGAATCTTTTCCTGCTGTTCTGTCGAACTCTCTGCCTTCGGGCGGGAGAGGAATCCGGACGAGGCTATGCAGAAGGGAAGAGTCTCGTCTGGGGAGTTAGACCGACCCGATCCCTTTTATGTGGGGTCTACGCGGATTTTTTTTGGCCGAGCCTACGGGCTCGGAGAACCCCATATTAAATTCGGCCTTGTGCCACATGTGACTGCGTGGAGCAGTTGCTAGACACCGCCTAGCTGAGATCTGTTACTCAGATGTTGGCTATTATCGAACTCTCTGCCTTCGGGTAGAAAGGAACCCGGACGAGGCTATGCCAAATGACAGAGTCTCGTCCGGGGAGGTAGACAGAACCGAACCCGTTTATGCGGGGTTACGAGGATTGTTTGGCCGAAAATATGGGCTCGGATTGCCCCAAATTAAATACGGCATTTTGACACATCCTACGAGGTTGGTAAATATTACTATCTGGGATCTGTTGAGTACGACACAGACTTACGCGAGAACTACCGAACTTTCAACAGTAGCACTCACTACTCGATTGACTTGCGGCGACCTTGTGCATAACTGTTACCTTTATTCTTATTGTACTTTTTTTTTTTACAATAAAACTGTACTTATTTTATCGACCTTGTTTTTCAAGTACAGTGTAATCCGAATATAAGAGACCAGGATATAAGAGAAACCAGGATATAAGAGAGATTTTCTCTGGTCCCAAATTAGAGCCTGTGTTAATGTATATAAAATAGACCAAACCCGGATATAAGAGACTTCTTCTCCGGTCCCGACAACTCTCTTATATCCGGGTTACACTGTATATATTCCTATTAGCACGGAATATAACAGATACCAAGCCGGAAAAAATGACCGTATAAAACTGGTTAACGAGCATGATTGTTATTTGGAAGTGGTACCTGGATAAAAGGAAAACTTTTCTTTAATGATCCATTTCGTTCTCTGATGAACTTTGTCAAGGTAAATGCTCCACAGGTGAGAACTGCGAGAAAAGAACCTATTAAAATAAAACTTAAGGTTACATGTAGCTTGTCCAACAGTAAAACTTATGACCTAGTTACTAATCCATTCGTACGCTTGAGTTCATGTCAAGTTACCAAGGAGGTAATTCATTAGAACAATTTTCATGAAAATATTTATAGAAAGGACAGAGAGAAGCTACGTCACGTCGGTGGGAAATTGAACGAAGCCGAGATGCCAGGTCATGATCTATAATATTACAGACAGTTTGAAATTTGTTGAGAAACTCTAGATATATAGCCAGAGCACCAGATCGTTTGTTTTTTTTTTCTATGAGTGTTCATATATGTGTGTAAGAGTGACAAGGATGTCTTTTACTAGATATATTCACTCATTAGAGTGAAGCAATTTACAGAGAATTAGAACTCCCGCTTGGATTCAATATGAGCGGACACAATCTTAACAATATTAGACAAGCAGATGACGCAGAAAGTAAACCACAGGAACTCCTACATATTCTATTAAAGGAAAGCGCGAAGAAAGGACTAAACATCAATTGTAAGAAGAGATAATGTATGGTGTGTTTGCAATGGCAACAGCCCAAACATGCGAACTACAAATTGCAAACTCCAAAATCAACCAAGTACAAGAATTTAAATGTCTATGAAGTGTTTTAACAGAGTAGGCAAACTGCAACATTTGGATAGCAAAAGTTGCCTTCCAGAAGCTAAGAAAAGTATTAAGACATAGGAAAATTTCGTTAAGGACAAAGAAAAGAGTACTGAACTATTATGTAATATCGTTCCACCAGGATTGCTTTGATTGTTGCACGGTCTTATAGCGATGGAGAAGAGACTTAAGGCATCATAAATATTCTACATGAAGATTCTGAGAATACGATGAGAACACGTGAGCAACGACGAAGTTTTCGTTTGGTTTGTTTTGTTTTACGGCATATCAACCTGAATGGGTTATTTAATGCCAACAAAATTTTTGTTGCTGGTAATATTTTTTTCTTCATAAGTCTATTTTTGTTAATATTTTTTTTCTTCAAAAATGTATTGCTGGCAAGAATTTTTTTAAAAAAGTATTTCTGGTATTAAAACCTATTTTTACACTTTCATAGTGTTTTGACCACAAATTGGGGGTTAACTATTTACCCATAGCTGGGACCCTAACAGGTGCTACCACCCGGGTCAGGGTGGACCTGAGAATACCAGAAATTAAGAGGTGGTTCCATGCTTCTCAAAACCTTCTGATCAGAGGCCTTGGTGTTAGACGTAGATTATCGTCTTACCCAGGAAGCGGATGTAGTTTATCGTCATACTCAGGACGGACGAAGTTTTGGAATAAATAGAAACAAAAAGGACACTTACATTTAAAATTGGGATGAGAGAATACCATGGATGGAACATGAAGAAGAGATTTGAAGCAAGAGAAATGTGGTTCTACAGAAGCATGCTGAGAATACATCGACGAACATGTAAGCAACGAAGAAGTTTTAGAGAAAATGGAAACAAAAAGGACACTTATACTTAACATTAGGAAGAGAGAATACCATGGATCGGACATGAAGAAGAGACTTGAAGCAAGAGAAATGTGGTTCTACAGAAGGATGCTGAGAATATCATCGACAGACCATGTAAGCAACGACCAAGTTTTAAGAAAAATGACAACAAAAAGGACACTTATATCTGGCAGCAGATGCACACTGTTGAAATTTCTCGGGCACATAACGAGAAAAGACGGCATGGAAAATTTGATACTCACTGGACCTACTGAAGGCAAAGATAGGATAAAGGAACTAGCCAAATAGCCTAACGAAATTGTGTAAATGGTTGACAAAGTATAACTTGCTTGGAATGTTTTTATTTTAAATCCACGAGTTTTAACTTAGCTCAAATACCGTATTAACGCGATGGTCAGAAATTCGCAACTATTTCAATCACGTGACAGGCATCAGCAAACTGCTTTTCCTCTTTCGCCATTAACCACAATGCTTCCTTTCTTTCGTTTAATTTCTTATGTATTTTTTGTCGCTTAAATTTCTAAATTTTTCTTTCACTTATTTTTATCGCGCTTATATTTCTAGATTTTTCTTTCGTTTATATTTTCTTTAATTTTTTCTCTTTTATTTTTCTAGATTTTTCTTTTTCTAAATTTTTCTTCGTTTATTTTTCTAGAGTTTTCTCTCGTTTTTTTTTTCTAGATTTTTCTTTCTTTTATTTTTCTACATTTTTCCTTCGTTAATTTTTTAAAATTTTTTCTCTTTTATTTTTCTAGATTTTTCTTTCGTCGATTTTTTCTAAATTTTTCTCTCGTTTATTTTCTAGATTTTTCTTCGTTTATTTTTCTAGAGTTTTCTCTCGTTTTTTTTTTCTAGATTTTTCTTTCTTTTATTTTTCTAGGGTTTTCTTTCGTTTATTTTTTAGATTTTTCTGTTTTATTTTTTCTAGATTTTTCTTTCGTAAGATTTTTCTAGATTTTTCTTTCTTAAGATTTTTCCAGTTTTTTTTTTTTCGTTCATCATTTTTAGATTTTTGTTCTTGTTTATTTTGTGTAGATTTTTCTATCGTCTATTTTTCTAGACATTTTCATTTTCTTTCTTTGCTCTTTTTAAGTTTTCCTTTTTTTTTTTAATTCTATCTTTTCCATACATTGTTGTTTTGTTATCGTTAATATTTTTCTTTCATTTTGTTTCTTTCATGATTTTCTTTCAAATATTTACTAAAGTTTTCTTTACTCTTGTCCCGTATAACACGCCTTCCTGGGTCTTTTGAACAGGATCAGAGGTTTATCCATTTTTCCCCTATTTTGGATTGGGTTTTCTGTTCCTTCTCTTAAAGGCATTTTCTTTCATACCTCTCCCAGTAACCTCTTGTGTTCTTCGTGGCATTATTGTCTTGATTTGACGTGAAATGATGCAAAAAAAATTCTTCCTTTTTCTTCTTTCGCATTTCTTTTTAACTTTTTCATTATTCTTGCGTCTTTTTCTTCTTTTTTCTCCGCCTTTTAATTTTTCTTTCTTTTTTCTTTGTTATGCTTTCTTTTTAGTATTATACAAACTGAATTTCTTATTTATTTCTTAATTATGGCACGCGTCTTTCTTTATCCTTTTTCTTTCTTTTTCATTTTGAAATTTAATTCAGTCTTTCTTTTTTTTCTTTCTTTCTTTTTTGTCTCTTATGCTTTCTTTTTAGTATTATACAAACTGAATTTCTTATTTATTTCTTAATTATGGCACGCGTCTTTCTTTTTTCTTTTTCTTTCTTTTTCATTTTGAAATTTAATTCAGTCTTTCTTTTTTCCTTTCTTTCTTTTTTCTTTGTTATGCTTTCTTTTTAGTATTATACAAACTGAATTTCTTATTTATTTCTTAATTATGGCACGCGTCATTCTTTATTCTTTTCCTTTCTTTTTCATTTTGAAATTTAATTCAGTCTTTCTTTTTTTCTTTCTTTCTTTTTTTGCTTTCTTTCTTTTTTGTCTCTTATGCTTTTTTTTAGTATTATACAAACTGATTTTTTGTATTTATTTCTTAATTATAGCATGTTTATTTCTTCTTTTCTTCCTATTGTTTTTTTTTTTTTATTTTATCATTATTTATTTGTTTTAATTCCTATATTCCTTTTTTCATTTTTGCTTAATTTTATTTTGTCCTCTCGTCTTCTTTCTTCCTCGACTTCTTTCTTACTTATTCATATTGACAGTTTTTTCTTTTTTATCTTTCATTCTTTTTTTCTTTCATGCTGTATATATATATATTGCATATGCATTTTCTTTTTCTTTTTTCTTTCTTTCGTATAATTATTCCTATTGCCCTTCTTTCTTTTTATCGTCTAGTCTTTCTTTATTCTTTCTTCTCTATACTGTCATTAATTTTTCCTTTCTTTCTTTCTTTCTTTCTTTTTTTCTTTCTTTCTTTTTATGCTTTCTTTTTAGTATTATGCAAAACGAATTTTTTTCCGTTTTTTTTTTAATTTTTATGATTTATTTTTTATTCCTATTACATTTTTTTTTTTTTTTTTCAAGTTTATTTGTCCTATTCTTTTTTTTTTTTTTTTTTTTTCTTTTTTTTCTTTTCTTTTTTTTTTCTTTCTTTCTTTTTTATTCATAATGGCATTTCTTTCTTTTTTATCGTCCATTCATTCGTCCATAATGATATTTTATTCTTTTTCTTTTTTTCCATACCAATATTTCATTCATTCACTCATTCATTCATTATTTCTTTCTTGATTTTCTTTTATGATTTCCGTTTTTTTTTTTACTTTATTTTTTATTCCTTTCTTTCTTTATTTCTTTTTTTCTTTTATTCCTTTTTTCTTTCTTTCTTTCTTTCTTTCTTTGTTTTCATTCATCTTTTTTTTTTCTTTTTTGTCCATTCATTCGTCCATAATTATTTTATTTCTTTTTTTTTCTTTCTTCATTCTTTCATTCATTATTCTTTCTCTTTTTCTTTCTTTCTTTCTTTCTTTCTTTCCTTTTCTTCCTTCTTCTTTCTTTCTTCTTCCTGCCCTTCTTTCTTTCTTTCTTTCTTTCTTTCTTTCTTTTCTTTCTTTCTTTCTTTTCTTCTTAATATACAGACTTTTTATTTCATTCATAATTATACTATTTTCTTTCCTTCTTTTTTGTATTATTTTTCGTTTTTTTTTCTTTTCATTATATATATTTAAATTCATATTACCTTTATTTTTGTTTACTTTCATATATAGCATATTTTTATTCAACTTCCTTTATAACATTCATACTGACACTTCTTTCTTTCTTTTTTACTTCTTTCTTTTATTATTTTTGTTTCTTACTTTCATTTTTTTCGTATTTCAACTTTTTTTCTTTTCTCTTTCATAATGTTCTCTCATGTTTTTAATAAGCTATTTCTTAATTTTCTCTTGTTTTTTCTTTCTTTTTTTTCGCTATCATGATTTTCTTTTTACATGGATCCTTCTTCTTTCCTTTCTTTTACCCATCTTAAATTATTCTTTCATTTATTTTCTTTCTTTTTATTCTTTCTTTTTTCCTTGTGTCTTTGTTTCTTTCTTTCTTTTTATTCTTTCTTTTTTGGTTGTTTTGTTTCCTTGTGCCTTTCTTTCTTTCTTTTTATTCTTTCTTTTTTATTTGCTTTGTTTCCTTGTGTCTTTCTTTCTTTCTTTCTTTTTATTCTTTCTTTTTTGTTTGTTTTGTTTCCTTGTGTCTTTCTTTCTTTCTTTCTTTTTATTCTTTCTTTTTTGTTTGTTTTGTTTCCTTGTGTCTTTTTTTTTGTTTGTTTTGTTTTCTTGTGTCTTTCTTTCTTTCTTTCTTTCTTTCTTTCTTTCTTTCTTTCTTTCTTTCTTTCCAGATCTTCTTCATCTCGCCATATTATTTTTTTCCGTTTCGAAATCCTTTTCTTTTTATAGATATTCTGGATTTCTGTTACCGGCGCTTTCTTTTAGTTTCAATCTTCTACGTTTTATCGTTTCACTACTTTTTTTTTGTTTTTGCTTCCCTCCCATCAGTTTTCTTCCACCCACCACTCCTCAGGTTTTCCCCCCTTATAATTCCCGCCCTCTGGAGGCTCATGGGTACCAATTTGTAAAACACTGCAGATAAAAATCGCGGAAGATTGAAAAAGAATAAACGGGAAAAATATATTCAATGGAAACAAAAAATAAAAATAAAACTACCAAAGAACACTTAAAATTAAAAAATATGCCTGTTATTAGTTCTTCGAACTGTCGTCTGCTATTAAATTGCTTCTGCCATCTTGCTCCCTATTTTCTCTTGTCGATTTGTGTTTCATGACGTGTTGACAGATTATTGGAGAATTATCTTTTGGATCTCGATTGTTTATTTTCAATTTAATCGCTTATATTTTTTATATTGTTTCATTATTTTTTTTTTCCTTCCGTACTTTGGATTTGTCTCTTTGTTTTTCATACATATGCTTTTATTTTCTGTATTTGTGAGAGTCTATTTTTTTTTATTTTTTACGCTTTGTTGACGTTTTTGATTTTGTTTTTCTTCCTTATCTGATGTTCCTGCTAGTCATCTCGAGATTCTTGACAAAAGAAGTAATCGATCCTGACCTGACATCTCGACTTCAGTCACTTTCTTACCGACGTGGCGTGGCTTTCCTTGGTCTTTTCTACAAATATTTCCATAGCAACTGCTGTGACGAGTTTTTTTCCCTGGTGATCTGATTGCATGAATTTAAGTGTGCCACTAGATTGGCTTCTAGCTCACACCATTTTACTGTTGAAATAGTTAAATGCAACAGCCACTTCTACTGCAACAGTTTGTTTTTCTCGCACTTCCCGCTTGTGGAACTCCCTTCCTTGCTACCCTAATTACAATCTTCAAATATTTAAATGCTTTTGTAGTCATGTGACATTGCTTTCCCTCTATCGCCATTAACTACTGTCATACTTTTCTTTCGTTTATTTTTCTATATTTTTTTCGCATATTGATTTTTCTGATTTACTTTTTTTCTAGATTTTTCTCTCGTTTATTTTTTCTTCTAGATTTTTCTTTCGTTTATTTCTTTTAGATTTTTTCTTTCTTTTATTTTTCTAGATTTTTCTTTCGTTTATTTTTTCTAGATATTTTCTCTTTTATTTTTCTAGATTTTTCTTGCGTCTATTTTTTTTCAAAATTTTTCTCTCGTTTATTCTTCTAGATTTTTCTCTCGTTTATTTTTTCTAGATTTTTCTTTCTTTTATTTTTCTAGATTTTTCTCTCGTTTATTTTTTCTAGATTTTTCTTTCGTTTATCTTTTTCTAGATTTTTTTCTCTTTTATTTTTCTACATTTTTCCTTCGTCTATTTTTTCTAAATTTTTCTCGTTTATTTTTCTAGATTTTTCTTTCTTTTATTTTTCTAGATTTTTCTTTGTTTTATTTTTCTAAATTTTTCTTTCGTTTAGTTTTAGATTTTTTTTTCCTCTTTTACTTTTCTAGATTTTTCTTTCTTTTATTTTTCTAGATTTTTCTCTCGTTTAATTTTTCTAGATTTTTCTTTCGTTTATTTTTCTAGATTTTTCTTTCGGTTATTTTTATGTAGATATTTTTTCTCTTTTATTTTTCTAGATTTTTCTTTCGTCTATTTTTTCTAGATTTTTCTGTCGTTTAATTTTCTAGATTTTCTTTCGTTATTTTTTCTAGATTTTTTTTTCTTTTTTCTACATTTTCTTTCGTCTATTTTTTCTAGATTTTTCTGTCGTTTAATTTTCTAGATTTTTTCTTTCTTTTATTTTCTCATGTTTGTCTTCTCAATTATTCATCATTTTCCTTTCCTCATCCCCCTTATACCTTTATCTTTTTCACTCTTTTACCCTCTTTCTCTCTGCGTACTTTTTCTCGCCTTGTTTTTGATTAAAAAAATTTTTTCTCTATTTTCTTATTTAAATTTTTTTTCCTGCTTTGTTCTTTATTTCTTTCTTTTTTCCTTCTTCCGTTTATTATTTTTGTTTCTTACTTTCATTTTTTCGGATATCAACTTTTTCTTTTAAATGTTCTCTCATTTTTTAATAAGCTATTTCTTATTTTTCTCAAGTTTTTCTTTCTTTTTCTTCTTTATTGGGACTTCTAGCTTTTTTCTTTCTTTATTTTCCTTTTCTTTCTTTTTCTCTTCTTATATTTTTCTCTCATTTAATTTTTCATTCTTTTTTTTAATCATGCATCTTTTACTTACGTTTTTTATTCCTCATTTCACTCGTTCATTATTTTCTTTCTTATTTTTATCAAACGTTTTTTTTTTAACTCTAGTTTTTCTTTATTTCGTTCTTTATTTTCTTCCTTCTTTCTTTATATCCTTCTTTCCTTCATTCTTTATTTGCTTCTTTCTTTATTTAATTTCTTTCTTTCATTTATTCTTTATTTCCTTCTTTCCTTCATTCTTAATTTGGTTCTTTCTTTAAAAAATTCTTTCTTTCCTTCATTCATTTTTCTTTATTTCTTTATTTCCTTCTTTATTTTTTTTCTTTCCTTCTTTCTTTTTATCCTTCTTCCTTCATTCTTTGTTTCTTTCTTTTTTTAATTTCTTTCTTTCCTTTATTCTTTAAATCCTTCTTTCCTTCATTCTTAATTTGCTTCTTTCTTTATTTTTTCTTTCCTTCTTTTCTTTATATTCTTTTTCTTCATTCTTTATTTGCTTCTTTCTTTATTTAATTTTTTTCCTTTCATTTATTCTTTATTTCCTTCTTTCCTTCATTCTTAATTTGCTTCTTTCTTTATTTTTTCTCTTTCTTTCTTTTTTCATTCTTTTTTCTTTATTTCTTTATTTCCTTTTTTATTTCCTCCTTTTTTTTTCCTTCTTTCTTTTATCCTTCTTTCCTTCATTATTTTCTTTGATTTCTTTTTTATTTAACGTTTTTTTTCCTTTTTCTTTACTTCCTTCTTTTTCATTTTATTCGTCCTTTCTTTTTTAATTTCTTTCCTTCTTTCTTTATATCCTTCTTTCATTCATTCTTTATTTGCTTCTTTCTTTATTTAATTTCTTTCTTTCATTTATTCTTTATTTCCTTCTTTCCTTCATTCTTAATTTGCTTCTTTCTTTATTTAATTTCTTTCTTTCCTTCATTCATTATTTCTTTATTTCTTTATTTCCTTCTTTATTTCCTCCTTTCTTTCCTTCTTTCTTTATATCCTTCTTTCCTTCATTCTTTATTTGCTTCTTTCTTTATTTAATTTCTTTCTTTTCTTTTCTTTCTTTATTTCCTTTTTATTTCCTCCTTTTCTTTCCTTTTTATTCCTTCCTTCATTCTTTATTTGCTTCTTTCTTTATTTAATTTCTTTCTTTCCTTTATTCTTTATTTCCTTCTTTCCTTCATTCTTAATTTGCTTCTTTATTTATTTAATTTCTTTCTTTCCTTTATTCTTTATTTCCTTCTTTCCTTCATTCTTAATTTGCTTCTTTCTTTATTTAATTTCTTTCTTTCCTTCATTCATTCTTTCCTTCATTCATTATTTCCTTCTTTCTTTATTTCCTTCTTTATTTCCTCCTTTCTTTCCTTCTTTCTTTATATCCTTCTTTCCTTCATTCTTTATTTGCTTCTTTCTTTATTTAATTTCTTTCTTTCCTTCATTCATTATTTCCTTCTTTCTTTATTTCCTTCTTTATTTCCTCCTTTCTTTCCTTCTTTCTTTATATCCTTCTTTCCTTCATTCTTTATTTGCTTCTTTCTTTATTTAATTTCTTTCTTTCCTTCTTTCATTATTTCTTTCTTTCTTTATTTCCTTCTTTATTTCCTCCTTTCTTTTCTTTCTTACTTTATATCCTTCTTTCCTTCATTCTTTATTTGCTTCTTTCTTTATTTAATTTCTTTCTTTCCTTTTTTCTTTATTTCCTTCTTTCCTTCATTCTTTATTTGCTTCTTTCTTTATTTAATTTCTTTCTTTCCTTTATTCTTTATTTCCTTCTTTCCTTCATTCTTTATTTGCTTCCTTCTTTATTTAATTTCTTTCTTTCCTTCATTCTTTCTTTCCTTCATTCATTATTTCTTTCTTTCTTTATTTCCTTCTTTATTTCCTCCTTTCTTTCCTTCTTTCTTTATATCCTTCTTTCCTTCATTCTTTATTTGCTTCTTTCTTTATTTAATTTCTTTCTTTCCTTCTTTCTTTATATACTTCTTTCATTCATTCGTTATTTGCTTCTTTCTTTATTTAATTTCTTTCTTTTCTTTATTCTTTATTTCCTTCTTTCCTTCATTTCTAATTTGCTTCTTTCTTTATTTAATTTCTTTCTTTCCTTTATTCTTTCTTTCCTTCATTCATTATTTCCTTCTTTCTTTATTTCCTTCTTTATTTCCTCCTTTCTTTCCTTCTTTCTTTATATCCTTCTTTCCTTCATTCTTTATTTGCTTCTTTCTTTATTTAATTTCTTTCTTTCCTTCTTTCTTATATCTTTCTTTCCTTTCTTTCTTCTTTCATTTAATTTCTTTCTTTCCTTTATTCTTTCTTTCCTTCATTCATTATTTCCTTCTTTCTTTATTTCCTTCTTTATTTCCTCCTTTCTTTCCTTCTTTCTTGATTTGTTTCTTTCTTTATTTAATTTCTTTCTTTCCTTTTTTCTTTATTTCCTTCTTTCCTTTATTCTTTATTTGCTTCTATCTTTATTTAATTTCTTTCTTTCCTTTTTTCTTTATTTCCTTCTTTCATTCATTCATTCTTTATTTGCTTTTTTCTTTATTTAATTTTTTTCTTTCCTTCATTCTTTCTTTCCTTCATTCATTATTTCCTTCTTTCTTTATTTCCTTCTTTATTTCTTCCTTTCTTTCCTTCTTTCTTTATATCCTTCTTTCCTTCATTCTTTATTTGATTCTTTCTTTATTTAATTTCTTTCTTTCCTTTATTCTTTATTTCCTTCTTTCCTTCATTCTTTATTTGCTTCCTTCTTTATTTAATTTCTTTCTTTCCTTCATTCTTTCTTTCCTTCATTCATTATTTCTTTCTTTCTTCATTTCCTTCTTTATTTCCTCCTTTCTTTCCTTCTTTCTTTATATCCTTCTTTCCTTCATTCTTTATTTGCTTCTTTCTTTATTTAATTTCTTTCTTTCCTTCTTTCTTTATATACTTCTTTCCTTCATTCTTTATTTGCTTCTTTCTTTATTTAATTTCAATCTTTCTTTATTTCCTCCATTATTTCCTTCTTTAGTTCGTTCTTTCTTTATTTCCTCCTTTCTTTCCTTCTTTCTTTCATTGTTTAAATTTTCCTTTCATTCTTTTTATTTTTTAATTTACATCTTTTCTTTCTTTCTTTCTTTCTTTCTTTCTTTCTTTCTTTCTTTACTTTGACTTAACTTCCATATATACACATTGTATGGGTCCTATAAACTTGGATGGGTAACTGAATTTTAAATCCAAGAAGGGTCGTTTGTGGAACTTGTGGCACGCTGTGCACCAATTCTCTGTACTCTGTATAAAGTGTAGTTAGTTCTGCACATGGCTTCACCACCATAATCAAATTATATCTGCTGATAGTCTTGTTATTATTACTTAAGCGTTATTTTTTAATGGGTTCTTATATTTGTGTAGATGTCAAGTTTATTTCTTAAATAGTATATTTATTTTCTTTCGTATACCGTCCAGAACACACTGCAGGATTTCTCATAGAAATCTCTGCGCAATCCGGCAGGATTCGAACCTACGAGTCAGGACAAACCGTCGTTAAATTCAACTTGATTTAGAAAACCTCGGCCACAAAGTGAGACGATAATCTAACTTGAATAATGCATTATACTTAAACAAAGACTTGTACAGAAAATACAAAAATAAATCTAAACAAAATGGAGGTCATTATTTAGCCGTCATTATATATATATATACACACACACAGACATACACACATATATATATATATATGAATAAACAAAGACTTGTACCCACAGAAATAGAAAATAGATTTAAACAAAACGGAGGTCATCATTTAGCCTTTTGGACCCTTTCAGTCTAGAAGTGTTCTAAAGGCTGAATAATGACATACATTTTGTTTAAATAATATATATATATATATATATATATATATATATATATATATATATATATATATATATATATATATATATAGAAACGACAGACTGTTTCATGCTATATGCAATCGTGGCCTGACGATTGCATATAAATATAAAAACAGACTGTCGCTCTAAGTGTTGACTTCATGTTCTTTTATATTTACACACGCTCTATTTCTGATATTGAGCACTTTATCCCATAAATATAGCACACCTTAAGACTATATTTCTTCATATATATATATATATATATATATATATATATATATATATATATATATATTAAGAAGAGAGAAGCCGAAAATGTTTTGGGTTCTAATGTGGGTTTTTAAAATATATATTATACTTTGTTTTCCATATGTTTGTTGACTCGTGGCTTTTGAACAGTTTCGCCACCAGTTCAAGAAGAAACATTTGGGTTACTACTAGACAGCAAGAAGAAAATGTCAAATATCGAAAGACAAGATCAAAATTAATTCCTTTTAATAATATGTGAAAATAACAATTCTTTGCCTGATGAAGGTTGCGTGACCGGAAACCGATGTAGCAAAATATAAAAAATAAAGTATAATATATATTTTAAAAAATCCACATTATAGCCAAAAACATATATATATATATATATATATATATATATATATATATATATATATAAATATAAAAAAGGCATTTTTTAAAATGTTTATACGTACTTTTTATAGATACAAATATTTAAGCAAATGCTCTGTTTATAATAAACCGTATTAATAACATTTACCGGCTTGAATTTTCGAGAAATTTTCATAGAAAATATGCGGCCTCAGACAGTAATCGAACCTGTATCCTATACGGAACCGTCATATAGCCTGACGTGCCTTGACCTTTATTGCGTCCTGGGCATGACGATAAAATACATCTGGCAACAATGACTCTGATCGGGAGTTTTTAAGGACCGTGTGACCACCTCTTAATTGCTGTTGTTTCTAGGTCCATCCTGACCCAGGCTGGTAGCATCTGTTAGGGTCCCAACTATGGGTAATAGTTCACTCCTCACACTCGGTTTAAAATACTATGAAATTATAAAAATATATTTTATAATAAAAATAACAGCAACATATTTTCATAGTAAAAGATGATCTGCAATACATTTATTTAAAAAAAAAAAGTCGAATATTACCAGAAATA